TTTATAAAGCATAGGGTCAGGTTTATGAAGTATAGGGTTCGGCTTCTACCATATAGGGTTCGGTTTATACAGCACAGGTTTAGTTTATACAGCATAGGTTCGGTATATACAGCATAGGTTCGGTTTATACAGTATAGGATTCTGTTTATGCAGCATAGGGGTTAGTTTATACAGCATAGGTTCGGTTTATACATCATATGGTTCGATTTATACAGCATAGGGTTCGGTGTATACAGCATAGGGTTCGGTTTATGAAGCATATGGTTCGGTTCATACTATAAAGGGTTCGGTTTATACATCACATGGTTCCATTTATACAGCATAGGGTTCGGTTTATACAGCATAGGGTAGGTTTACACAGCATATGGTTCGGTTTGTACAGCATAGGGTTCGGTTTATACATCATATGGCTCGGTTGGGTTTATGAAGCATATAGTTCGGTTCATTCTATACAGGGTCGGTTTATACATCATATAGTTCGATTTATACAGCATAGGGTTCTGTTTGTACAGCATAGCGTTCAGATCATAGAGCATGCAGTTTGGTTTGTTCAGTATGCTTTATGTTTATACAGCATAGGGTTGGGTCTATGAAGCATAGGGCTCGGTTTATATAGCAAGCGTTCGGTTTATACAGCATAGTGTTGAGTTTATACAGCATATGTTCAGATTATACAGAATGCGATTATACAGCAAGAGTTCGGTTTATACAGCATAGGTTTCGATTTATACAGCATAGTGATAGGTTTAATACAGCATATTATTAAATATGTACTGCAGTTTATTTTGATTCGTCCCTGAAATCAAAATCGGTATTTCCACACCCCATATGCAAATGAGGTCTGGGAGCAAACAAAGTAGTCCTTCAGGAGTACCGTTTTTCGAAACATGATAGCAGAAATAAACAATATTTAGAAGTACCATCTTTTTCACTTGGGGTACATGAATATACTTGCCGAGTGAAATGAAATTTGAACAACAGTAATGGTACTTTTAGGCAGTCATTTATTTTGACTAAAACTAATTTGCATATCACCCATGCAATAATGTTTAGGTCGATATGCTTAGGTATTGTTCGTGATG